ATGGACCAGATGACATTGCAATTACTAAATGATATTTAGACAGACTTAAAGAAGTTCCAGATCTATACTTGTGCTCTTATTATTTCAGTTATTTTGCCTTTAATGTAAATAAACATGTGCAAACAATATACTTGCTCTTGTGAATTTATTTTGATGGTAATTACATTGTGCCAGCTGTCTCTTTAATACCGTGTGGTTTATATACATGTTGCTGCTGATTAGGCTGACATTTTTGACAGACCCACCAAACAAAAGAAAACGTATCTCAAACCCCGTTGCACACCGTTTCCAGGAAACATGTCGTTCAAACTGGAAACCGTAGCAAAACGTCGCGCACCGATTTGAGCTTGAACTTGCCCCAGGATGCAAGAGAAGGGATACAGCAAAAACCGGAAGCTAACAATAAATGGAATTTTCTACCTATTAGATTGTGTTTTATTAACGTCTACACCTACCCCAACCCTAAACCTACCCCTTAAAATAATACAAAAATAGTAATTATTGTTGTACAGTGTGAGAAAAATTACGCTATGTTGATGTGTGCATGCCCAGTAGTTTTTGCTGTATCCCATCTAGCCTTAACCAGAAGAAAGTTCAACACTCTTTAGTTATGAAAGAATAAATAAAAAAATGAAACCCAAATGTTATGTTTATCTAAAGTAATTTTTGCTTATTAGTATGGTTGAATTGGATCATCGAAAGTCGGCAACAAAGTCATTGGTTAATAAAATGAGATTAAATGCATAAAGGATATTTGTGTTATTTAACATATTTCATTATTGCAGGTTTGCGTCATATTCTAAGTTTGCATTTCAAAGTTTTTATTCATTTTGAGCAATACTGAATCTGTTTTTGTGCAATTGAGATGAGTAAATGCATGTTCACATTAGTAACCGTCATGTTTACAGCGCACACAACACCTTTACACTTACTCCTGATTTCTCTCAACATGGGGACAAGAGAGCTGTCACTCAGTACATGGGAAAACATATTAACTGGTATTATTTTAAAAAGTAACTCCGATATTTTCTTATAGATTTAAAAAGTAATCCATTACTTTACTAGTTACCTGAAAAAAGTAACCTGATTACATAACTCTCTTTATTTGTAATGCATTACCCCAACACTGTATAGCACTGTGATTAAATGTATTTTATTACAAAAGCAAATAGATACCAGTGCACACTGAAGTTAGCACATGTCTGTCAGACGTCCACGGACCTGTACAGACAAAAGAACAAACGATTCATCTATCATTGCTGCTTTACAAAATAAATTATTCTTTGATTCATTTATTTAGACATCATGCAACCACTTCTACATGAACCTTTAACACATTTCTTACATTTACATTACATTAAGAAGTTTTCTTATCCATAGAAAATAATAGTAAAACCCAGATTTAGAGCCTCTTGATTTCAGCTGGAACTGATGTTGTGATTTTCCAACTGCTTGACTGTTTTAAATGCTGCATAGAGAAATGTCATGCTGCATACCCTTTATGAACATTTTGAGTTGTCATCCAGAATTTCCACTCCTTGGATTGTATGCAGTTTACTGCATTTCAAACCTAAAATTAAAACAATACAGATTTCAGAAGACCCCTCATCAAGACTCAAAAGCCACCGCACAGGTAAGTAGGTGTGGGCATGGTTGGCTTTTTATGCAAGTGTAAAGTGTGCTTTTATGAAAGTGAAACATATTGAAATGTTTCCTCTTCATGCATTTGCTTCCAAACCTGTTTTGAGTTTCTCCACGCTGATAAACAAACTGCCACAGTGCATTATTACTCACGGTACGAGTTTGAGTCTGGCCTAGCGCGTACCAAAAGTAATAATGGACCGTGAAGCAGTTAAATAGGGCTCCTTTCTTCTCATCAAGGCACGACTTTGTCAAATTAAACCGCGTATATATGGGTTTAAAACATGCAGAATGTAAACATATTTAAGATTTGCTACAGTTTTGCATACTTTACCTTTTGCAGACTTCAGAAGTTACATCTTAGTCTTCACTTTTCTCCATTAGTGGCCTTCAGAGGTGCCCAAATCATTCAGAGGGGTTAAATCCATCCATTGCTGCAGTGATGGAGTAGAAGAACATAATGTAATGCTTCAAACAATGCAGTATTGTTAAACTAATTAACAGAGGCTTCTCTATCAGAAATGGCATTGTTCAGAATAAATGCTGAAAAGTTTCACTCTAACAAGGTCTCATAACGATTATAAACATGCAGTACGCAAACATTATATATAAATATAAATACAGGCAGGAAACAAATAATTTAACAATTCAACGCACTGCTTAATATTACAATTTGCCAACAGAGGGCGCCATTTTATATAGCGTGATCAACTGACATAGTGTGATTAAAACAAATAACAAAACTGTTTCTAAAATGTTAAAACTAATGTTTTATTAAATAAAACAGTTTAGAATGCGTTATAATTATTGTATAATTTTTTTTCAAAAATGTCAAACAAATATGAAGTAAATCAGGTGAGTTAATAAAAAGGGGAAAGTTTCTCACATAATCCAAAGCATTTTAATGCCAACAAGACATCTAGATTATGCGTTAGGACAACTTTGGGAGCAAAGCCAACGGAAGACTGAAAAATACTGCGATATTTATCATTGCAGTGTCCGTATATATATTAAATATTACTGTAATGAACTAAAATATTACCAATAACTTGGTGTAATTAAAGCAGCTCCAAAAAGTAATGTAAAGTGTGACCAATATTCCTTGGAAAAATGTTAGTTCTGTAAACTCTACCTGAAAATTATGGATCTGTTTCCAAATATGTGCTGGTCCAGCTGGTGAACCTGAGAAAGGAGGAGGTCCATAGACGAACGTTTGAGCTCCAGAAACAGGACTTTAGTGATGTGGTCAGTGTAGCCTATACTGCTCTGTCCGGACATGTGAGAAATGAAATGCCTTTGTCGTGTTAGAGGTTCTTTTTATTAAACCTTCCTGTGGAAGTGAGGAATCAGGATGGTCATTCCCCAAACCGGAATTCCTGCGTGTGTTTGTTACTGATAAAACAGCTGTAAAGAACAAGCTCCATCCTTCTAGAACCGCTGGAGTCTGTTAGTGAACTCTGAGAAGAATTGAGCATTCTTTTGAAGTGGAAAGCTAGGCACACTTAAGAAAAAACTATCTGTTTTTAGAATTACTGCATCATCTTATTATGAATTGTACATATATTACAACAACCCCAAGCAGAACTACATGAAACCTGTGACCCTGGAGCACAAAACCAGTCTTGAGTCTCTGGGGTATATTTGTAGCAATAGCCAAAAATGCATTGTATGGGTCAAAATTATTAATTTTTCTTTTATGCCAAAAATCATTAGGACATTAAGTAAAGATCATGTTCCATAAAGATATTTTGTAAATTTCCTACTGTAAATATATCAAAACTTAATTTTTGATTAGTAATATGCATTGCTAAGAACTTCATTTGGATAACTTTAAAGGCGATTTTCTCAATATTTAGATTTTTTTTTGCACCCTCAGATTCCAGATTTTCAAATAGTTGTATCTCGGCCAAATATTGTCCTATCCTAACAAACCATACATCAATGGAAAGCTTATTTATTCAGATTTGAGATGTTGTATAAATCTCAATTTTAAAAAACTGACCCTTATGAATGGTTTTGTGGTCCAGGGTCACATATGGCAAATGATAAACCTGTCCTCCAAAACATGCGCGTTATAGTATTTATGCACATTTTGAGTTGGCTTCTATTTTTATATTTTCAGTGTTCATTTTAAACTGAGTTCAAACCATTTCTGTTTAGCTTTATTTTTAAGTTTCAGTTTTAGTCATTCAAATTTAAAGGCAACAATCAACAACAAAATCAGAAGCCAGGGCGGTAACTATCCATTTAATAATAAAAAAATCACAAAACATTAACACAAAGAATGCCATTGTAAATCAAGTAAAAACAAGCCAACAGGTTTTAATGTATGCCTGAAAGTTAGCAGGAGGAGGGGGAGAGAAATGCAGCATTTCCAGTGTCGGAGGAAAACGGAAGCTGCTGGTGGATGAAGATAGCAGGGTCTGCTTCAACCGAACAATACAAATCTCACCCGCGCAGGAAAAGGATCTGCGTCAGCAGTGAGTGACAGATTTTAGAAAGACAAAATGGTGCCAAATCCAAAGTGGCGGGAGAAAATCAGTGTTTCACTTAAAGACCTCAAAAGCACAATGCTGTGTTCCTTATGTTTCATCGAAAGTAAATTCCACGTTGCTCTGGAATTGCTGTTATGAAACACTTCAGTGGGCAGGGTCAAACATTATTTCACAAATACAAACCCTTCCCTGTGGGAAGTATGTGGACACTTAAACTAGACTTAAAATAGATGTCAGAGCATTAGATAACAATCTCAATATCAAACCTTTTTTTTTTAAAGCAAAACATTTCACAAAAGTATGTTTTTTTTAAATATATATTTACAATACTATTCAACATTTCTGAGAAGTTTCTGAGAAATGTAATTTATTTATTTATAAAGCCCTTAAAACTATACAGTAGACCTAAAGTGATGAAAAATAGACGCAAACAGCAGCCAAAAAAACAAACAAAAAGAAGCAGTTAAAACACTTAAGAGCACAGATAAACTTCAAAACATAGTTGTATAGTCTCAGACCCGCCACAGAAAAAGCCAGATCACCTTTAAGATTGCGTCGCGACCGGGGAATGTTTAAGAGCAGATTATTTACTATGTATATAGGCCTATGCAAATGTTCTGTGTGTATATACCTGGACGACCTGTATTATATTACTAAAAAGCAGAGCACACTGTGTATCTTATCCCACAATGCACCGTGCTTGACATTTCCAGTGTGATTAATTAGTCAGTAGTATAAGTTGTGATTTGTCGTCGTCTTCTTTCAGCTTGTCCCGATTAGGGGTCACCACAGTGGATCATCCGTCTCCATTTTACTCTGTCCTCTGTGTCTTCCTCTGTCACACCAACCACCCGCATGTCCTCCATCAGCACATCCATGAACCTCCTCTTTATTAAGTTGTGATTTATACCATCTCTTAAAAATTATTGGCTTACTGTTTGTTCAAACTAGCAAGAGTTAAGACAAAATTTGATTAAAATGCAAAATATCCATTTGTAGTTCTGAGATGCCAATCATGAAAATAAACATGCACGCAATGAAGCATATTACTGCTTGGAATATTTATAGTCCCGTAATGCACACTGTTCCACATCAGTTGTCTTCCTTTTTTCCCCCCCATATTTATTTGAATAGGTATTTTCAGAATACACATAGTTTCAAAGCAGCTTTAGAGAAAATCATGATCAATGTTTGTAATATCTTAATATTTTCATGGCAGTTTGCATTTTGTTGATACAAGCAATCAAGCAGTTGAGGAATGATATAGTACAAATTGTATGGTTGGATATACTTATAGTAGTTGTATAATTTGTTATTAAAGGGTTAGTTCACCCAAAAATGAAAATTCTGTCATTAATTACCCTAGTGTTTCCTGAAGCCTCCTAAACTTTGAGCTTTAGACCGCCGGGTACATTTTTAGGAGCGAGAGGAAGCCATTCATCTGAAGCTCTGGGTTCCTGTTAGAGTGGTCAGGGAAAACGCTGCATAGCAATCCTTGTTCCCACACCGGACGATCGAGGATATGACCTGTTACACGGTGTACGAGAGTTTCTTTAGAGTTCTGAGAAGAGGCTGAGATCTCCTGACATTTTTTTTGCAACCAATCCAATCAAATTAATGGTCATTATATTACACAACCGACTCAACTGAGACTTTTTACACTCGATTGAAGTTGTTCTTCCCATCTTCAGTTGTACTTCCAGCAGAGTCACAATACTGGATAATACATGCCATTTATTTAAACCTTGCATTGGTGCACAAATCTAACTCCATCAGAACTGATCTTTAAAAAAAACCTCTACAGTCTCGCTGTACATCTCATCTACACTGAACAAAATTATAAACGCAACACTTTTGTTTTTGCCCCCATTTTTCATGAGCTGAACTCAAAAGATCTAAGACTTTTTCTATGTACACAAAAGGCCTATTTCTCTCAAATATTGTTCACAAATCTGTCTAAATCTGTGTTAGTGAGCACTTCTCCTTTGCCGAGAAAATCCATACACCTCACGGGTGTGGCATATCAAGATGCTGATTAGACAGCATGATTATTGCACAGGTGTGCCTTAAGCTGGCCACAATAAAAGGCCACTCTAAAATGTACAGTTTTATCACACAGCACAATGCCACAGACATGCAAGTTTTGAGGGAGCGTGCAATTGGCATACTGACTGCAGGAATGTCCACCAGAGCTATTGCCCGTGAATTGAATGTTCATTTCGCTACCATAAGCCATCTCCAAAGGCGTTTCAGAGAATTTGGCAGTACATCCAACCGGCCTCACAACCGCAGACCACATGTAACCACACCAGCCCAGGACCTCCACATCCAGCATCTTCACCTCCAAGATCATCTGAGACCAGCCACCCGGACAGCTGCTGCAACAATCGGTTTGCATAACCAAAGAATTTCTGCACAAACTGTCAGAAACAGTCTCAGGGAAGCTCATCAGCATGCTCGTCGTCCTCATCGAGGTCTCGACCTGACTGCAGTTCGTCGTCGTAACCGACTTGAGTGGGCAAATGCTCACATTCGATGGCGTCTGGCACTTTGGAGAGGTGTTCTCTTCACGGATGAATCCCGGTTTTCACTGTACAGGGCAGATGGCAGACAGCGTGTATGGCGTCGTGTGGGTGAGCGGTTTGCTGATGTCAACGTTGTGGATCGAGTGGCCCATGGTGGCGGTGGGGTTATGGTATGGGCAGGCGTATGTTATGGACAACGAACACAGGTGCATTTTATTGATGGCATTTTGAATGCACAGAGATACCGTGACGAGATCCTGAGGCCCATTGTTGTGCCATTCATCCACGACCATCACCTCATGTTGCAGCATGATAATGCACGGCCCCATGTTGCAAGGATCTGTACACAATTCCTGGAAGCTGAAAACATCCCAGTTCTTGCATGGCCAGCATACTCACCGGACATGTCACCCATTGAGCATGTTTGGGATGCTCTGGATCGGCGTATACGACAGCGTGTTCCAGTTCCTGCCAATATCCAGCAACTTCGCACAGCCATTGAAGAGGAGTGGACCAACATTCCACAGGCCACAATCAACAACCTGATCAACTCTATGCGAAGGAGATGTGTTGCACTGCGTGAGGCAAATGGTGGTCACACCAGATACTGACTGGTTTTCGGACCCCCCAATACAGTAAAACTGCACATTTTAGAGTGGCCTTTTATTGTGGCCAGCCTAAGGCACACCTGTGCAATAATCATGCTGTCTAATCAGCATCTTGATATGCCACACCTGTGAGGTGGATGGATTATCTCGGCAAAGGAGAAGTGCTCACTAACACAGATTTAGACAGATTTGTGAACAATATTTGAGAGAAATAGGCCTTTTGTGTACATAGAAAAAGTCTTAGATCTTTGAGTTCAGCTCATAAAAAATGGGGGCAAAAACAAAAGTGTTGCGTTTATAATTTTGTTCAGTATATTTCAGCCACCCTGACTGCAAATAATAGAAAAATGTCATACAAAGGCAGTTGCGATTTGTAGAGTTCATCCTCAGGGTTCAGGTGACAATAAATCATGAGATAAACTTGCCTTCTGATGTGTAGAAAATGAAAGCACAGAAACTGAGATTAAAATTAGACCAGGATTTGTGATGTGGATGTTGTGTCTAATTGAATATTCCCCCCTTGGATGCTCTTTGTGTCTGGCATGTGAACTAGAGGGGACGTTTCAATATATAGCTACCAAAGCCTGCAGCAATAACTATATCTAGGTTGAAAGCACCCTCCTCCACACACTCACTGACCTCCTCTGATGTTAATAAAGCTTGCATATGGATCCGCACGTCTCACG